CGCAATTAGAATCCCCAAAAGAACTGTGGGATGCTCTTGAAAAACGTTTTGGGCACACTTACGATAGTACACTCCAAGGAATAATCAAAGAGTGGAATGAAATTCACTTCTCACATTACATAAGGGTAGCCGATTTTAATCGGGAGATGTTATCCTTAAAAGAAAGATTGAGTTCTCGTGGGTTAACACTCACAGAAGATGCTATGATTCAAAAGACTCTTTCCACCCTTCCAAAATCAGCCATCATACAAGCATGGAAATATTGACATGACTATGAAACTAAAAGTTTCACAAAATATAACGAGCTTATCAATCTAATGCTCATGGATGAGCGATACCAAGTGGATCATGGTGTGAGTCATGAGAACTAAGCACCCATTAGTCACGAGTGGATGATGTTTTTTTATTTCTATCCTCCCTAGTGAACATTATTTTTGTGGCATTTTCCCTTGGCTAATGAATACTCCGTATGTTTTATTTTAATTGATCTACATACGTATGACCTTATATTTTTTTTATAACTACTTTCACTACCTAGTTTGTTTCAAAGGACTATGTGATGCACTTTAATTGTCATTGATCTAATATAAACCTCAATGTTATTCAACATTAAGAATGACACTAGAATGACCAAAAGAATGTCATGTGACTCATTCTACTCATTGAAACACTTTAATTCATATTGATTGTTTATTTGATTTATTGATACTCTCAAGTACTAGAATGAAAGAAATGAGGATTCAATGAATTGTGGATTATATAACTCGTTAGATTTATTCTTTATCATTCATATGTGATTATGAGATTATAATCTGCAAAGCCATTGTATATATGAAAAGACATATTTTTCCACAATCTCTATATGCACCTAGAGACATTTGACGCCTATTAGTTTATAGACTGTATGTATGTCAGTTGTTGTCATTCCACATAAAATTAACTGTGAGAATCTCATTCTTACACAAAAAAAATATGTTAATGTAGACTTACGTATATACAATGTGTATCATCTAAGCGTAGAGGTCAAACTAACGCACTAGTTAAATGTTGATTGTCCACATAATATTGCACTTGCAAAAGTTATAAAATCATTTTGAGGACTCACCACCCCATCAAGTATATATAATACTTGTCAAAACTAGAAAAGTCCATAACAAAGTATATGATTGTTATTGCACTTTTATTGGGATCAAAGTACGTATCTCATACATATATGAAACAATGGTATCATTTTCAATCACATTTAAAAGAACTTAGATGGGGAGTATGATATTTATTAAGCGCACTAACATGTATATAACATCATGGGATAAAATAACTTTTGCATGCAACTATACTCATATGTGTTTGACCCAATAATATTACACCAATTTTATGCATACCAGTTGGTAACTGGACATTAGCCTGAGATTTTACTTTATGCATATTTGGTTGTGAAGTATATGTGCCTACTGTGTTCCCCACAACACACAATAATGGGTCTCTAACACAACGGTAATCATATTGGACATGGATCTCCAACTATGATCCGTCATTATCCAACCTTGGCAGATACCATTACACTAGTGATTTGTCACTTTATTGAGACAGTCTTCCTGTCGTTAGGGGGAGATAAGAGAAAAGATTCTCTAAGGGAACAACAAGAAGTTTTTTGTAAAATGACCTTGCTCTGTCTCAATACTGATCCCCAAACATCACAATATGATGATGAGTTAAAAGACTCATCGATATAACATTCTTAAAGTGACTACATCTTATAAACTGTTGTAACTATGTCTGCATGGTTTAAAACCCTAGTAAGGGATACAATGCTAAAGGAAGAAGCATTGCAACCGTACAAAGTGGGAGTACGGTTGAGGTCGTGACTCTCTAAAGGAATAGGGGGAGGTCACTTGGTTCGATTAACTATCCACTTTAAAGTGTAGAGTGTGATGAAGGCACAACCTAGTACATTTGTCATCTATCTCATTAAATTTTCCCTGATTTATGTCCAAGAATCACTACCGGAGGACGCTCTAAAGTGTAGCTAGATTCCAGGGAAATTTCAACATAAATGGTTATGAGAATGTGTATGCACTCATGTAAAGAGCTTACACTTATATTGACAATATATATTCTTATATCGTGGCTTAAGTAATTACATAGCACGATGATATCGAACCTAGCTCTATTGTAGTATAATAACAAAGAGCATTGACCTAAATGAATATATGTAATCCAGGTATAACTTGATTCTTTGACAAAGAGACAGGTATTTGGTGTGGTAAGTGCTAACCGATCAAGTGTAAAGCCTGTAGGACATAAATTAGT